CGCTTCATCGGACCGTTCACAGTCCTTGCCAGACATGGTGCGTCGTACACCATCGACCTACCAAAGTCAATGACATCGCACCCGACGTTCTATGTGGGACGTCTTAAGCGGTACCACGATCCGCAGGGGGTTGCTGACTCGCAGAGCCACCTTGGCCCAGCTCCTCAAAACGAGGAGCGGCTTCAGACGTCGACGCAGAGGCGTGCGTCCAAGGCTCACGCTGGACAGCAAGGCCGCGATCAAGATCGTACGCCGGCGGGGCCCCGTACGAACGGACCCCACGGGCATAAGGTGGGTACGCCGGGTACGCACCATACACGTACGGCTGGGAGCGATCCAAGGGCGGCTCCGGACTTGGTTACAGGCTCTCAACGCGTCGGATCTGGCGGAAGGCTTCGTCAATATCGGACGAGAAGGCCCGGCGGTCCACCCGGAATACGGTGGTATTTCGGTGGGAAAAGCCGATTCTTGACGTTCCGCCTGCATTGTTGGAGCTACTTTACAACGAAAAAGACTATCCAAACTTGTTTGGTTATTATGTGCAAGGCGGGCGTGCTCAAGTGATTGATAATGGAAATGGCAACGTGGAGTGGGGCATAGCAAATGGCACAAGATGCAAGTTGATATCGCTGGCCTGGAATGAGGCAAATGCCATCGAAACAGTACTTCAGTACATAGCCACTATCTCGGTCGAGTGTGGTGCCGTGATTGACCTTCCACGTGTACCAGATTTTATAAACGTACAGCTCGTAACTCAAGCGGGGGATGTTATTCCTGCTACAACGTGGCCAACAGAAAACAATCTGGAAAGCAACTGGAAAACTGGTGTTGCTGGTCACACAAAGGAAGAAAGAGTATTATCATCCCAGTCGGTGTCATCGCAAGCAATCAACAAAAGTACCGTATCAAGCTAGCTTGGACGCTCATACAATCAAGATTAAGTACTCTCAACATGCAGTTGAGTTAGCACTGGTCATGACTGTATCAAAAGCACAAGTGTAACGGGGTACATACCCCAAGTGTACCCAAGTTACATGAAGAGTGACCAGTCACTCTTGAGATACCCGGTACATGGTACCAGGGGCTCTAGGAGCCAATCATTGCATATCTACATAGCTTTACTATAGGCGAATTATAGTTTGTATTAGAAAACCAAGCTAAACTTACGTATAACTACAATTAGTCTTAAACGTACCCTTAATTGAGTACTTCGTCCCCTCAGACCAGGGACACGTGAACGGTCGTTCACTTAGATTTTGTATACTCTAGGAAGCCTACTTCCTCAGCGCAAGGTGCTGTGTGACCCCGTCACACTTGGTAGCACTTGTAGTCAATCCACGTCAACGCGAGTAGTCTACCTGAACCTCTAGCGTTCGTCACCATGGATCGGAATGAGTTTCCTTACCTGAACGACTCCCAATTCGTGTAGGTTCGGAAGATAGTGGGCATCTTCGGGATGCAAGCCTTGCAAAGCCTGGTGGCGTCAACACCGGCCGAGCAAGTCGAACGTGTCAATGCGATTGGCACGTATGAGCAAGGGCTCATCGCGCACGTGCGGGGAAACCTGCAGGCGCCGGCGGCTGAAGGAAAGCCGCCTCACCCGAAGCCATTGCGGCTAAAGGTGACACCATATGAAGGGAAGGAGGGAAATAACCTTCTCTTCTGGGTTCGAGAGGTAGAGCCCGCGATTAATGCGGCTCTGATCTCGACCAAGCAACTCCGCGTTGCTTAAACGCTCTCCAACCTTAGCGGTCGTGCCAAGAGTTGGGCGTACACGCGGGAGGCGACGTCGCCTGGATGTTTCACATCCTGGCCTCAGCTGTGTGAGCAGCTTCGAGCCGCGTTCCTCTCGGCGAACTACAAGTATCGCCAGCGCTCGCGCTTCCTCTCATGCAAACAAGGGAAGCGTGAGCTGCACGAGTACATCCAAGAGATGCGGGAGCTTACGGCATCCCTAGTGGGCAACCCAC